ACCACCCCCGCTTCCTGCTGCACCCCCTCAGCCAGCTTCCGCACCTGCCATCCCTGCGTCAGCCCCACCCATCACTTCACCAACAATCGCGCCAGCCCAGCCATCTGTGCCGCTCACCCAGCTCTCTATGCCAATGGAGCTGCCCATCTTCTCACCACTGATGATGCAGACGATGCCACTGCAGACCTTGCCAGCTCAGCTGCCCCCTCAGCTTGGCCCTGTGGAGCCTCTGCCTGCAGACCTGGCCCAGCTGTATCAGCATCAGCTCAATCCAACCCTGCTCCAGCAGCAGAACAAGAGACCTCGCACCAGAATCACAGATGACCAGCTCCGAGTGCTGCGGCAATATTTTGACATTAACAATTCCCCCAGTGAAGAGCAAATCAAAGAGATGGCAGATAAGTCTGGGTTGCCCCAGAAAGTGATCAAGCACTGGTTCAGGAACACACTCTTCAAAGAGCGGCAGCGTAACAAGGACTCCCCTTACAACTTCAGCAATCCTCCCATCACCAGCCTGGAGGAGCTCAAGATTGACTCTCGGCCCCCTTCCCCAGAACCTCAGAAGCAGGAGTACTGGGGAAGCAAGAGATCTTCAAGAACAAGGTTTACTGACTACCAACTCCGAGTCCTCCAGGACTTCTTTGATGCCAATGCTTACCCAAAGGATGATGAATTTGAGCAACTCTCTAATTTACTGAACCTTCCAACCCGAGTCATTGTGGTATGGTTCCAGAATGCCCGACAGAAGGCCAGGAAAAATTACGAGAATCAGGGAGAGGGCAAAGATGGAGAGCGGCGTGAGCTTACAAATGATAGATACATTCGAACGAGCAACTTGAACTACCAGTGCAAAAAATGTAGCCTGGTGTTTCAGCGCATCTTTGATCTCATCAAGCATCAGAAGAAGCTGTGTTATAAGGATGAGGATGAGGAAGGGCAGGATGACAGCCAAAATGAGGATTCCATGGATGCCATGGAAATCCTCACACCAACCAGTTCCTCCTGCAGCACTCCAATGCCCTCCCAGGCTTACAGTGCCCCGGCACCATCAGCCAATCCTGCTCCTGCTGCTTTCCTGCACCTTACAGCTGAGGCAGATGAGCTAGCCACCTTCAATTCAAAAACAGAAGCAAGTGATGAGAAACCAAAGCAAGCTGAACCTCCCAGTGCACAGCCAAACCAAACCCAAGAAAAGCAAGGACAACCAAAGCCAGAGCTTCAGCAGCAAGACCAATCTGAGCAGAAGACAACTGTGCCCCAGCAAAAGCTTCCACAGCTGGCTGCCCCACCTTCCTTACCACAGCCTCCTCCACAGGCTCCTCCTCCTCAATGCCCCTTACCCCAGTCGAGCCCCAGTCCCTCTCAGCTCTCCCATCTGCCCCTCAAACCTCTCCACACATCAACGCCTCAACAGCTGGCCAACCTACCTCCTCAGCTCATCCCCTACCAGTGTGACCAGTGTAAGCTGGCATTTCCATCGTTTGAGCATTGGCAAGAGCATCAGCAACTTCATTTCTTGAGTGCACAGAACCAGTTCATCCACCCCCAGTTCCTGGACAGGTCACTGGACATGCCTTTCATGCTGTTCGATCCCAGTAACCCACTCCTGGCCAGCCAGCTGCTTTCCGGAGCCATACCTCAGATTCCAGCAAGCTCCGCCACTTCTCCTTCCACACCAACCTCTACGATGAACACTCTGAAGAGGAAGCTGGAGGAAAAGGCCAGTGCAAGCCCTGGTGAAAATGACAGTGGGACAGGAGGAGAAGAGCCTCAGAGAGACAAGCGTTTGAGGACAACTATTACACCGGAGCAACTAGAAATTCTCTACCAAAAGTATCTACTGGACTCTAATCCAACGCGAAAGATGTTGGATCATATTGCTCATGAGGTGGGTTTGAAGAAACGTGTGGTTCAAGTCTGGTTTCAGAACACTAGAGCTCGAGAACGGAAAGGACAGTTCCGGGCCGTGGGCCCAGCCCAGGCGCACAGGAGATGCCCTTTCTGCAGAGCGCTCTTTAAAGCCAAGACTGCCCTTGAGGCTCATATCCGGTCTCGTCACTGGCACGAAGCCAAGAGAGCTGGCTATAACCTAACTCTGTCTGCAATGCTTTTGGACTGCGATGGGGGGCTCCAGATGAAAGGAGATATTTTTGATGGAACTAGCTTTTCCCACCTACCCCCAAGTAGTAGTGATGGTCAGGGTGTTCCCCTGTCGCCTGTGAGTAAAACCATGGAATTGTCTCCCAGAACTCTTCTCAGCCCTTCCTCCATCAAAGTGGAAGGGATTGAAGACTTTGAAAGCCCCTCCATGTCCTCAGTTAATCTAAACTTTGACCAAGCTAAGCTGGACAATGATGACTGTTCCTCTGTCAACACGGCAATCACAGACACCACGACAGGAGATGAGGGTAATGCAGATAACGACAGTGCGACGGGAATAGCAACTGAAACCAAATCTTCTGCACCCAATGAAGGGTTGACCAAAGCGGCCATGATGGCAATGTCTGAGTATGAAGATCGGTTGTCTTCTGGCCTGGTCAGCCCAGCCCCGAGCTTTTATAGCAAGGAATATGACAACGAAGGTACAGTGGACTACAGTGAAACCTCAAGTCTTGCGGACCCGTGCTCCCCAAGTCCTGGTGCAAGTGGGTCTGCAGGCAAATCTGGTGACAGCGGGGATCGGCCCGGGCAGAAACGTTTTCGCACTCAGATGACCAATCTGCAGCTGAAGGTCCTCAAGTCATGCTTTAATGACTATAGGACACCCACTATGCTAGAGTGTGAGGTCCTGGGCAATGACATTGGACTGCCAAAGAGAGTTGTTCAGGTCTGGTTCCAGAATGCCCGGGCAAAAGAAAAGAAGTCC